ACTTTTATAGTATCAAATCAAATAATGTATATCTAAAGTGTTGTGATAGGTTTATAAAAAGGTTTTATAATTTTTTTAACAAATTTTTTTAGTATGATTGTAAAATAAAGTCTCTCGTTAGCTATTTTATACATTGCTACTTGAAAAAGTGTCATATAAACGCAATAATTATAAAAGATGAGTTTATAGGACACTTATTAAAATTGCACTATAAAATAGATAATACAAGACTTTATTTTAAAAACGTACTATAAAGTTTGTTAAAACTTCCAACAACTTCTCATTAATCTATTGTAACACTTTTAAATAGTACATCTGATAGTTTTATCCTATAAACTTAAATTTAGGTTCTACAAAGTATTTTATTAAGACTTAGAGATATTATAAGCATCTTTGAAAATCAATTTTGTTGTAGTTGTATCCAAAGTTGCTTTTACATGTGTAATTTTCATATTTTTCACGCCTTTTGCTATGTTTTTATTGTTTAATGAAGTAATGTTTTTGGCTAACTAGTTCGACACAAACTAACATGTCACTACAATAAAATTATCTTTATAGGACGCTTACAATGTTTAAGTGTCTTAATAAAGTATTTTATAAGTCTTAAATGTATAACTACAAATAATAAATTATAAAATGTCTTATATAAAAGTGTTACAATAAGTGTCACTTTTAATAGTGTCACTCTTGTTCCCTACTCCACCTCACAATCCATTTTCATTCGATCAAACATAGTCATTGTTAACTTAGAATTACAATTTTGACACTTATATTTACTTATATATCATTTATTTTTTTATTTTTTTATTTTACACTTTTGTCATATTAAGATGCATAATTGTATTTTAACTTAAGTACGTTAAAAGAATATGTTTTTTAAACAAATTACACTATTATAATAATCTTATCAATACCTAAAAATGAGTAGACTATTGAATATTTTTTAATTTAATCATATTATTATATGTCATATGCACTACAAAATTATTTCTAATACTTACACTTATATCCTTATAGTTGTTTATTTAATTTATTTTATACATCCATTACTATTTCATTTTTCATGTTACACACTTATCTTATTAACATATATAATCATATAGTAACTAAAATACGTTAAAAAATATGTTTCTTTTTTTATACAAATTAAATCATTATAATCATCTCGTCAATTTCATTAAAACGATTTTAATATTGAATATTTTTTAATTTAATCAAATTATTAAACATCATAAATATGTAAATTATTTTATACCATCATAATTATTTGTTTTATATACCTTACCTATTCATTTCCGTTTCACGCTAATATAATATAATTAACAAACACAATGATATACTAATTAAAATACATTAAAAAAATATGTTTCTTGTTTTTTTACAAATTATATCAATATTATAATTAATTATCTCGTTAATACGTTTAAAATGAGCTCAATATTAAATATTTTTAGATTGATATGGTATCATAATGACATAAATAAAATTAATAATGGTGTAAACTAAAAAAAGTGAAAAGTTAAAAGAAAAGTAAAGAAATTAAATAAATATTTATAAGGGTGTATAAACCGTAAATATTCAAGATTCTTTTTAGATATATGTTTCTTGTTTTTTAGTTTAAAGCTTGTAAGAGCCGAAATAAGTCGGAACAGATCGCCGCTTTCTGACTTAGTTTAGTCACTTGCTGCCACAATGCTTGGTTTATGATTTGGGAGGTCAAACCGTCCAAACAGGACCACGTACAAACATCACTATCTAATACAACTAAAGATAATGTTATTAAACAACAAACAAATATTGAAATTTGATATTATCAAATTCCGGTTTTACATGTATTATCTTAAACGCTAAAATACATTTTATTCTTATATAATACCTTTTGACCTTCGAACTCATGCTACAAATCTAATTTAACTTGTCAAAAAATGGGATGAACGTAAGTTACACGCATAGATATATATAGCAAGTTGACTCTAAAGAAGTCAATTTACATTTATATTTAAATGTGAAGTCTTTGCTAGACAGCTGTTTTTTTTGTCTAAAAGAGATTCTGTTTGCTATAAAGCGTTCACATTTTACACCTAATCTTGTGATATATATCTCTCTTCCAGAAGAAAGTAAAGCATCGATTTCTTAACGTACAATGTGTTCTATTCATGTATATGTATGAAACAGTGACGAATTAATCTATAATTGTTTGACTAGGATTTTGGCTATATTTAAATATAAATTAAATATTTAAGTTACTAAAGATTAATAGACTATTTTTTTTCAAAAGGTCCCAGTCTGCGTCCTGAGGTGTCGATCCTGTATTGGTTTAACGATAGGACTTGAACCTGGGCACCCTGCGACGATAGTTCACGTTTATGACGAGTACTTTGGGCAGCAACAGATTGGCGTGCCCAGAAGGACGTCAACTCTGCTCTCCTAAAGTATGGTTAACTCCTAAAACGTTGAAATTGGTTGATTGTTGGTGCATTTCCAGTTTTTCATTTGGTGATTTTACTAGACAATATATTCACTTCATGTATAAACAAATAAACTCTAAAGTTCAAAGGGTTAACATTAAATATACAAAAACTAACCTACAAAGTTAATCCTAAAGTAACAAATAAACGTTGAAATCAAAAAATTAAGCCTAAGTTAACTATAAACAAATAACCCTAGCTAAAGTTTACATTAAATTTTATTAGAAAAATCAACAACAAACATCAAGTCAAATGTGTATATAATAGAGACTAAGAGGCTGTTTACTAAACGCTTACCGGTAGGTGCTTACCGGGCAATTTTCCTCATCGGACGAACATGGCAAGACCCAAAAATCTTACCTGGTAAGAGCGATGATAAAGATAGAGAGTCTTACCCGGTAAGTAGTGAGGCTGACGACTCTTACCCGGGTAAGCGCTTACCAGATATATTGTTGCATACAATACCATTTTGATATACTACAATTTTACCCAAAAATTAAATTATAGTGTTGACTTCTAACAATAAGTACTTACCGGGTAACCATTTAGGGAAACAACCCCTAAATGTTGGCACACAATTAATGTTAAAAATATTTTTTTTTTATTTGTGTTGACACTAAAATTATAATTAATTTTAAAAACGTTTTATTGTATTTTAACTAATAACTAATTAGTTAATATGATAAGAGTAAATGAAAGTGTAACTAATTTCCTACCATCATCCTTAAGTTCTGTATCGTGGAGGGTTTATTTCTTAATTTTCATTTAAACTTCCACAAAGGTTTTAATGTTTATAGAAGCTCTTATTATGACAATCTCACCATATATATATATATATATATATATATATATATATATCTAGTGACCGAAAGATCTCGTTGGAAAGAGCATAATAAGTAATCTCGACGTTTGCAAGTTCTTCCTCATCCTAATGTTCTTCATCCTTTGGCTAGCTTTTCGAAGGAAGGGATCTCAGGCGTTGTCGGAATTTCAGGAACACGAGGAATGGTGACACTTGGAACAAAAGGTTCATTAAAGAGAAATTTATACAATTTGCTATGGAGTCCTTCCAGAAAACTGAGCATTTGTATCTTCCATTAGGGATACTCTATCATGAACAAGAGTTGAGGGTTTTGTAACAGAGCCTACATTACAAGTAGAAGTGCAGCTTGAATTTGACATGATTACTCTAGGAAGTTCTACATTTGTTCTTCAATTAGAGAGTAATCCACTGATTTGATAGGATTAAGATATTTGCAGAAAATCATCATAATGGGGGCTTTGAACAACTTATGTATATGAACATGAATGATACCACCAACAATTACAGTCATGTACTCGTGTGTGTATTTTAGGTCTGGAAGGACAATCACGTCATTCGAATAACGGGTTGGATATCAGGTTAATTAAAAAAATATTTAAAAAATGTATTATAAATTTGTAAAATAATATCTTTATTAAAAGAAGTTATTATGCTTTTTGTTTGACATATATAAAAACATTATAATAGAGATATAAAAAGTAACTTTTCAAAATAAAAATTACTAGGGGTTGTTTATTCAAACTCTTTTCTGGTAAGCGTTTACCGGTAAAATCAACCATCAAACTTTATTTTACCAGGTAAGATTATAGTTCATGAAAAATGTATAATATGCAATAATGTATCCAGTAAACATTTACTAGGTAAGAGTTGTCATCCTCACTTATCGAGTAATTAGAGTCTTAATCCTTATCATCGCTTGTACCGTGTTAGACTCTTGGCTCTTGTCATGTTTATCCGGTAAATACTTACCGGATAAACGTTTAATAAACAACCCTTAAATTGGGTGATTATGTACATATATCTTATTCTGAAATCATTTTTTGAAGTTTAATTTTAAACTAAAGAAAAAAAATGGATAGAAATTTTTTTTATGTACATCTTACTAATTGAGGGACCTATTCATGTATGAGCGGGAATGTACCTGTTCAACTGAATTTTGTAAGTTCATTTTTTTACATATGAAAAGTACCGTTAAACTCTCAGTGGTGCTATGGATATTAGAAAATACAATGAATATCAACAAAAAAACGTAAAATTTCCCTCGAAATCAACAATAAGAAAACGTAAAAAGTCTATTGAAATCAATCAAAAAATTTGAAAAGATTTTTAAAACCAAATATTTCTAAAATTCGTTCGAAATGGTGGAATTTGCCAAAAAAATACATTGGACGACTTTAAACACGACATTTGATTCATTTTAAAGGTACACCCATTTGGAAAAAATTATGGGTGTGTAATTTCTTATATTAATAATATCATATAAATTTGAAATTGATATGGTTTGGTTAGTAAAACCTAGAGATGCCAGTCAACAAAGCATACCTTTTCCTTTTTCTTTACTTTCATGATTCCCATGTTGAAGTTTCATACGATGACATTGTACTTTCCTGCTCACCGCCTCATTGACCATGCAAAGTCTCTAGATCTGTTTCTCTCTCCAAGCACTATAAATGCATGAAGGATCCATGAAGTATTTCACAACCAAAACCCTAAGTTTTCATCCATGGCGTCATCATCATCTTCTTGCTCTTCTTTTACAGTCATATGTTGCTTGTTGCTGTTCACAGCAATGGCTTCTGCTCAATTAACTGCTAACTTCTATAGCCAAACTTGCCCAACTGCTATGTCCATTATTCGTGGCGGTGTTAGCACTGCAATTGCCAGAGAACGTCGCATGGGTGCATCGTTGCTTCGTCTTCATTTTCATGATTGCTTTGTTAACGTAAGTAATTTTTTTTGTTAACGTAGCTTAACTTTCCGGGCCTTGTGTTTGAGCTTTATTTGTGGGTTTGCTATTCATTGGTCACCGGTTTGAGTTTCATCATAATTAGAGGTTGTCCCTGTTAAAAAGTTAAGGGCCTTATGAGACGCTACAACGAAATTAGGTTTATAGAATGCTATAAATGTATAAACTAATACAGAGTCTTATAAAACTGAAATTTACATGACCAAAAAATTGTGCCATACGTTAAAGTATTATAACAAGTTTACAGGACACTTGTGGATGCATTAACAATACTTTAAGATCAGTTTTGAAATATAACTTATTAGCTTTTTTATATGACACTTTTTGAAAAGTTTCTTATGAATACATTTTTTACAGGACACTTGTTTTTGTAAAACAAATTTTCAAATAATTTCTTATAAAAAAATTACTATGAATCTTCATTTCAAATTATCTTTAAATTGTTTTGATAAAACGCCAAAAAACCATCTTAGCAACTAATCCTAACACATTTACGTAGAACACGTAATTGTTCTATCAGATAAACTTAGGTTTTCTAAATCAGTTTATTAGAGCATTTAAACATTTTTGACATTGTAGAAACCTGATTTAGTCGAATACGGACAAACTGGTGGTCTAGACACCCACAATAATTAAAAACTATGTGTATTAAGTTTGTTCTTTTCAGGGGTTTGAAGTTTTATTGGAGATCAATAATATGTTTGTTTGATGTGATTTTAATTATGAACACAGGGATGTGATGCATCAGTTTTGCTTGATGATTCTGCTACCATAACAGGGGAGAAAACAGCTGGACCAAATGTGAATTCTATTAGAGGATTTGAAGTCGTTGATACCATTAAATCGCAATTGGAGTCATCATGTCCCGGTGTTGTCTCGTGTGCTGATCTCCTAGCTGTAGCAGCACGAGACGCGACTGTCCAAGTAAGCAAAACATCAAACTATATCTTATTCGTTTCTCATCGTATTTGGATGTATGGCTAAATGCATTGAAATACAACGGAGTTTGTCTTAGTTCACATTTAGTGTAACAAATAATTTTTTTCCCAATCAATGTAACAAAGTTTATTTTCTTAATTGTGTACTCGTTTAGACCTTGTTGATCTTGTAACATTGATTTGATGACGTTGATATCAAGTTTATTGTCTCATTCGATGTAACCCTTTATAAAAAAAAGGGTTAACCTTTCGTAAATGAGTATTGACGTCATTACATGTTACAAGATCAATATGTTATCAATCAAAATGGGTACAAAATAATAAAATTTGAAACTTTGTTAAAGTGATTACGAAGGAAAACTATTCGTTACACTAAATGGAAACTAAACCCTTCGTAGACGAGTATTCACGTCAAAAAATGTTACAAGATCAGTAGGTTACAGATAAAAGAGGTACAAAGTATCAAATTTCAAATTTTTTTGATAGAGTGATTAAGAAAAATTATTGGCAACACTAAATAGGAACTAAACCTTTCGTAGTTATATTCACGTCATCACATGTTACAAGATCTGTAGGTAACGATCAAAATGGATATGAAATAGCAAAATTAATTATTCGTGGCGCTAAATATATGAAATTTCGAATTTTCAGCTTGGTGGTCAAACATGGAATGTTGTTTTAGGAAGAAGGGATTCAACTACTGCAAGTTTATCTGCTGCCAACACTGATCTCCCTTCACCGTTCTTGAATCTCCCTCAGTTGATTTCTGAGTTCGCAAACAAAGGTTTCTCGGCCCAGGAAATGGTTGCACTCACTGGTAATTGTTTGATTCACATATGAATTTCAGTTGGTCTGTTTGATGTATTTTATTGATGATCTAGGATTAATTTGCTAATTCATATATGAATTCATTGTAAAAGTTATTATCGTTTGGCTTCTTCTCAATCCGTTTTTCTTTCTCCTATATATTAATTCATGAGGTAAAATGTCTAACCAATTAATTACCAAGCTGGGTGATCATACTGTTTAAAATCTTTATACAGGAGCTCATGAAATCGGCCAGGCTAGATGCGGAGTGTTCAAAGAGCGAATCTACAATGAAACCAACATCGATCCATCTTTCGCATTAGCCATGCAAAGAAATTGCCCTAGAACTGGAGGTGATGCTAATCTGGCTCCTCTTGATAGCACCACCCCAACAGTTTTCGACAACGCTTTCTTTAGAAACTTGGTTAACCGAAGGGGTCTTCTTCATTCCGATCAACAAATCTACAGTGGAGGTTCCACAAATGCGCAGGTCGACCGATACAGGCTCAACTCGGCTGCTTTTTTTAGGGACTTCGCCAATGCGATGGTGAAGATGGGAAACCTTTCCCCACTCACGGGTACCAATGGCCAGATTAGGACCAACTGTAGGAGGCCAAACTAAGTCCATGCCTTAATTTTGAACACAATATCAGTGAAAGTTGTATCTTCATAATAAACTTTAGGCATGTTTGATTCATTATAATGATGTAAACGTAATATTGATCAACTACAATAAAATGGTATTTTCATCTTCTTTTGTGTTGGCATTATTTTGTGGAAACACAAAGGATCGAAAACGGCTCAGGGTTCACTACAAGAGAAAGGGGTTTTAGAGAAGGAAGTTTTAGAGAAAGATTTCAATGTGTATCTAAAGGTGACCTTTAGGGAAGAAATTACTTGGCAAAAATGAAAGTTGTAAGAGAAGGTAAAATGACTTTTAGAGAAGAATTTTGAACCAAATAATATGCTATGGAAATCGTCCCTAAATCTTTTAGAGACGTTTTTATGTAAAACGTCTCTAAAAGTTGAATCAGAAGTTTAGCAACGCTTTTAAAACCGTCTCTAAAGGATAAAATATTTTATTTTTAAATTAAACAAAAAGTTTTTATTACTATTCTGTACTTTTTTTAAATGTATCTAAAAGGGTTTTTATTTTTTAATAAATCAACCTTATGGGTGTGTTTGGTACGTAGACCAGGTGAGACGGGACGAGACAAAAATAAATAGCGTCATATTTGGCATGCCATTGGACAAAAATAAGGTTGGACAGGATAACATGGGACAAAAATGAGTTTTCTTGGGACTATTCTTACGTTTTTTTTTTGTTCCACCAAAAAAGATGAAACAACATGGAACTAAATCCTGAGATTACAATTTTACCCTTGTTAAATCACATAATATATAAAACCTAATTATAAACTCCATCGCCTCCCGTCCTTCTTCATCTTGCAGCTTGATTATGGCCTCCATCTTCCACGAACTCCAAATCGATTCCACACTCGAACTTCGACGAGCTCGAACTTGATTCCAGATTCGGGTAAAATTTCTTCTCTATCTTCCATGATTGTCGATTTCTCCATACTTTCCTGCACCAAATCGATTTCACGAACTCGATTCCACGAACTCCAACTTCCACCAAATCGATTTCTCCATACTTTCCATGGTTGTCGATTTCACGAACTCCNACCAAATCGATTTCTCCATACTTTCCATGGTTGTCGATTTCACGAACTCCAACTTCCACCAAATCGATTTCACGAACTCGATTCCACGAACTCCAGCTTCCACCAAATCGATTTCACGAACTCGATTCCACGAACTCCAGCTTCCACCAAATCGATTTCACGAACTCGATTCCATGAACTCCAGCTTCCACCAAATCGATTTATCCATACTTTCCATGGTTGTCGATTTCAAGAACTTCAGCTTCCACCAAATCGATTTCACAAACTCTATTCCACAAACTCGAAATCAGTTTTCGAATCGATTGGCTACTGTTGCTTTCTTTGTGATTTTGATTGGCTACTATTGTTTGAGAGTCGATTGTGTTTGTTTCATTGATCTGTAAACTATAACTATTAACTTATGATGGAATTGAATTATTTGTTTTCGAAATCGACATGGATGTTGATGTAACACAGAATGATGGAGTTTTTCACAAGATATTATGCTCTTAATATAATATATGATAAACTTGAATAAGTAACAGAGGCAACCTGGGGGTGCTGGAACAACTACTTTGCCAAAAAAGTAGATGATTTGTTGGCCTCTCATCCCTGTTGGAAGTAGATGATTTGTTGGTGATGGTGTTGCACAATGGGCCTTGTGGTGGCTCCATGATACCTCAAAAACATCACATTAATCCTCAAAGCTGTAACTACTTTTTGGAAGTCATCTTTAGACATGGTTTTGCTAAAATATGAAGGGTCACCCATCTCTGATGAACCTTGGTTAACAGCATTAGACTAGAAAGTCATTCAATAGCGAGTTTCAAAGAGGTACGAAGTTCAAGGACTCTGTTTGATCAGCTTTGGTTTAGTGAGTGCACATCAAATATGTGGGAAAAGATGAAAGCATATAAGTAAATGAAAAGCTAAGTTAAGCCTTGGAACATCTATTAGCTAGGGAATTTCAGTGTTAATAAGTAGCATGATGACCGTGGATCAACATGTTCAACAAAGAACTCTCATATGTAATTCCTTTTTCTGAAGTACATAATATTTATATACAGCAAATTAACAAATAAATTTCTACTCACATGTGACCTTATTATGATTATATTGTAAAATTAGGTTTATATTCTATTTTCAATTGTGGATACTTCTCTGCGTTGTTTCTATCTATTTGTACATTTTCTAAGGCAAGCGTATGAACAATGGTTGTGCTTGGTTTTCTGCAGGCCAAAGCCTATCTCAAGAGTGAAAAAGATATCAAGTTGGGGGGATTGAAAAGCACCAGAGACTGGAAATTTGGAATATTGTGCTAACTCAGCTTATGTGAAGATTATTCTTTTGGTATTCAATGATACTACATAGTGTGTAGATTCCAAAATCATTGGCAATACAACTATAAAGATTTATGAAATATCATCGGGTTACGGTTACCTAAGAAAGATGATGTTGCTCACAAAACTGACTTTGATGAAGAACTTACCTCTACACAGGTTATCATGAATTTGGGATACTTGGGCAATCTAACTAACTTGATTAAGTTTAGAAGAAAGAATATGCCACCAATTTGATACCATTTATTCTCCATTGTTAATAGATGTTTAATTGGCAAGACTAGAAGCTAAGATAAAGGAAACTTCAGATTGTTGTCAATTTTTATTGGCATTGCTAGGTACAAACACTATGACTACGGGTTCTTATTATGGGAAAACATCAGAGAATATTCCATATCAAATATTCTAGCTTATGGTGATTTAGAATATCTTACAAGAGGATGATTCGATAGACAAAAGAGTTGGAGAGCCTACTGCCCCGTTGTATTACTTGGATTCTCTGAGGCCATCAACTCCCTATTCTGAATTTCAAAGACATAAGGTACTGACTCCAACACTAAGAACTTATGTTGATTACAGTGACATTTTAATTAAATATTGTGCTTAAATGGGTTTATCTACACCTATAAACCCAACTCAAAAAGACCAACCAGAGAGAAAGAGAGGTGATGGGTCTAGTCATAGGGGAGTGGGGGAGGAAACTCAATTACTTGAGCAACCTCATAGTGATGAGAGGGAAACGAAATAGAGAGAGGTGAGGGGTCTAGTCATAGGGAAGTGGGGGAGGAAACTCAATTACTTGAGCAACCTCAAAGTGATGACCGTGGATCAACATGTTAAACAAAGAACTCTCATATGTAATTCCTTTTTTTGAAGTACTTTTTTTAAATTTATGTTATTGTGAAAAGTAATTTATATGTGACCTGATGGTCAATCCTGATAGAGTTTGTTAACTATGGAATCGTGTACCATATATGCTTGTTAACAGGTCGGATAGAGAATTCTTATACGAGATCCTGAGCGAGGTTATCAAAGCAGGTGCAATAACTATTGACATCGCTGATACCGTTGGCTATTGTTTGCCTCGTGAGTTTGGACAACTCGTTGCTGACATAAAAGCCAACACTCCTGGCATTGAGAATGTCGTTTGTGCTATACATTGCCAATAATGATCTAGGACTGGCTGTTGCCAATACTATAGAGGTATATACAATAGTTATTTTTTTAGTTTGCCTATGATCAACTGTAGTATGCTGACGTTTGTGGAAGATTCCAGGGGATTTCTTCAGGTGCAACACAAGTATATGTAACAATAAACGGATCGGAGAGAGAGCTGGTAATGCTTCTTTGGAAGAGGTGAGTATTATGCTTCAGTTCTTGTAGATAATAATCACTTGAAGATGGTGCATGATTCTGTTTGACATTTGTATCAAAAGATTGAAAAGGGTGGTTTTCCCTATTATTTGTTTTTGAACTCCATTATCTAGTCTTTATCATGAATATATTGATGGATGTCTCTCATGACTGTTTGGTGAACATATATATATATATATATATATATATATATGAAATGCAAAGGAGAGTTATTGGGTGGTAATGATTGTTGGTGCTAATGCTTTTTCCCATGAAAGTGGCATCCATCAGGTTGGACTCCATTTTTAGTTTAATTGTATAACGAACATATCCTGTGGTCTAATAATGATCATGGCTTGATATTCTGCTCAATTTAGAGTCTAGTCATGTGACTTGTTCTGATTATATTCAATTAACCTAGTTTACTGTTTTGTAGGACGAAATGCTAAAGAACAAAAGCACATATGAAATAATGTCTTCAGGAGAAAGAATACAAACCTGTTTGATTCAACCACGGTTAGTTTTTTTATTTTAATGTAAAACCTATATTTCCAGCTGTTTGTTGTATCATTTATCTATCTTCCAATAATTTTAAATTGTTTCCCTTATGTTTGAGTTATTTTGTTTGTCTTTTTATGTGGTTTTCAAATGATATAGGAGACTGTTTTGAGTGACATGAAGAATTTGGATGTTATTGGTGAGACCCAGCCGTGTAACAATGTTACTCCAACCACTACACGTAAAAGAAAGTTCCAAGTTTTTCATCTTCATTAACTGTTCAAGACTAACGTTCGGAGACTCAAGATCGTTAAACATGCTATGATGATTTTGGATTTTTTTTTGTTGATAAATTTAGACGATATATGAACTAGTTGAATATTAAATTTGGATGGTTCTTATATATATTAAATTGTTTTGAGATTATTATTAATTTGTTCCTGATTAATTTAATATTATTTATTAGTTTAATTTTTTTAT